TGAGTACAGAGAATACTGCATGAAAAAACACCCTAGTATAGAAAGGGTTAAATCTTTATGTACAGTTGATGTAATATAGATTTAAAAAAAATTGTTGACTTAGATCAAATAACCTGCATCAACTCAATCTAGATGCCTTGTCATTAAAAAATTGCAGCTTTTATTTTTTTTATATATCTGCATAGTAGGTATTTCATTTTATTAAAAAATTGCAGCTTTTATTTTTTTTATATATCTGCATAGTAGGTATTTCATTTTATGAATTCAGAACAGAATTCACAAAATTATTCTAAGTATGAAAATATGGATGGATGACAAGGGATTTCACTCAAAATAGCCTGTATAACGGAAACTAAATGATTATCGAAAATATACTAAAAGTGCAAATTTCAATGATGTCAACTGAAAAAAAATTAACTGTTTTTATTGAGTTTCAAAAAATCAATTGACAAACTTATAGTGTCAACTTTTTTATTCTTCTGGTGACAATTCAAAAATTGTATACAATTACAGATAATATTTTTTGTTAAATTGTTATTGTCTAATTTATGTTTGTCATGTATCCTTCAGTATTTTTTGTTCCTATCAGTTAGCTGTGAATGAGATATGAAGAAAACTGTCGTTGATTGTCAGAAAAAGTCAATTTTCAATCTATAAGCGGAATCGTAATGTATCGTTGTAGTGAGTGTGATAGAAGTTTTACTCGTGGAGATAACTTATGTTATCAGGCACAGTCGTGTAGGCCCAATAATGACATCGCCGAGCCTTCAACTAAAAAGGCCGAATTAGATCTTGTTCCTCCAGCTCCGAGTGAGCAGTTCTGTAGCTAGTGTAATGTAATGATACCTGTGAATCTGATGAATTCTCACCTAAAGACGATGGAGCATATAACAAATGCATTAACTGCGTTTTCCGATGACGTCAAACTTATCAATAACTCATTCAAATACAGGATTACCAGTTATCGAGTTGTGAGTAAAAATCATAGTTAATATTTTTCAATGACCTGAAGCAGAAGATTGTTAATTTGATTGAGAGAATGGTACAGATCCAAAAAGCTGTGAAAGTGAACATGGAAGGTTTTGCCAGATACGCCTTGCAAACAGAAATCATTTGATGTGGAAGGCTTCAACAGCCCCAATGAAATTGTTGACCTTCCTATATCACGGTCTAGAAGCGGTGTATGATGAGTTCTTTGATGTTTTATCTACAGGTGCTATGGATTTCCAAGAGCANTGGTGGTTTTCAAAATTTTCAATAACAATTTATAATCCTATTATGGTTTAAGGGCCAGACATTTGCAAAAAAAAATCAGAAGTAACAAAATATATTCCAAGATATGACTGATCTTAAAATTCATGTATGAATATTACTGGAGTTTTTCCCAACACCAAATCGTTATTTTTAACACCTCGACACGTGTTTCGATCACCAAGTGATCATCTTCAAAGAGGAAGATTCATGTATAAATAGAATTTTTTTTGACTTATCACTCAAGACTTACAACTTAAGACCGGTGCATGAATCATTCCTAAATTATGAAATCTGAGCTGTAATTAACTTACTATTTCAATATCTACAGGAACATCAAGTATCGGCGAAGGAATGTATTCTTCTTCAACTTCCTCCTCCTCAGGTACAGTTGGAATTCCATCTGACTTGGCATTCAAATTTTGGGAAACATCATAATTATACTGAACTGCATTTGTCATCCTTCGTTTCTGCTCTTCTTCTACAATCATAAAGTGCACTTTTTTCTTCATCAAAAAGAAAAAAAAAATTAACCTTTATACATTTCTTCCTCCTCCTCATTGATTTCAAGAGAATGATATCTCTCTTTATCACAAAGTTCTTCAAGATTCATTTCCTTTTCACTTAGTCCCAGCCAACGCATAGCATCATATCCTTCTTTACTTGCTTCATATTTACTGAGGTCACCAAGAGCTCCCCGACAATCGTATCTGAAAATTGTTGATGAATCAGATGAAAGTGAACTTTTAGAGAGAACTAACCTATCAATTTTGATTTTCTCATCACCCAACCATGGAATCAAGTGTTTGCCTTGGTCAATAAAAAGAGCTTTTTCATCATCCCGGAATAGTTTGCAGGCGTACCCAAATACAAGAAGCTCATCATGATTTTCTGTTAATATATTTTTTCTCAAAATTCCCGTTTCGGAAGATCCATTCCATTGAGACATTTTACTGTAACATTGCACAACGGAAGTGTAGTNAAAAAAAGCAAATAACACGTCATATTGGTGGGGGGAGGATTAGAACCGGGAAAAAATTTCTGAACGATCCATACACCACACCCTTCAAGGTCACATCACCTTGACTTCACCAAACAACAACCAATAAAAAAGCAATTAATACGTCATAGTGGTGGGGGGAGGCTTAGAACCGGCTCAAATCTCCTACTGAGATTCAATTAAAAAGAAATCGCGAATATCCCGGAAAGCAAATTGGGTGTTATATCCGCCCTTGATGTAAGAATAAGTTTGATTCAATATTGACTAATAAACATTAAAGATACATAAGTAATAGAAATTAGACAAATAAATGAATATTTTTTTTGGTAATCAGTTTAAAATTTTCTCTTTCCTGGCTTTGGTCCGAGTAAAAATATAAAATTCATCATCATAATCAATTTCTTGAACTAGTTGAGCTTCATTTGATAGTAATGCAAGAGCATTAAGTCTATCTTGACCCATACTTGCACGTAGGTAAATCGGTTTTTATTCTTTTCAAAGTAGAAATAGATATTTTTCCTGAGCAATTTGTAGCCGGAATACAAAAAAAATACGTGAAGCAATGTCCACATTTGGATAAACATCTTAAAGACTCCATTGCATATTTTTTGCAGAGTGTACATCTTCCGTATTGGCTGAAGAATCTTTGAGTCTAATATTCCCAATCGCCCCCCTTGGCAAGCGAACTTAAAAAGAGATAAGTGATAAGTCAGTCAAGTGTCAGTCTGTTACCGCACGTTGTAAGATGCTCATCTGCAATATATTAAAATAGTTGTAGTTACATGTTTCATTACTCGTCCCTAACAAGGGGGGTCCTTCGCTTATAAACAACATTTTGGTCCAGTCGAACCGAATAGTTCCAGTATCAAGCAACCACGTCAGCATAGAAAAAATCATCCCGAATATCAGCCGAGTCGTATTAAGAAGCACGCAACACCAACACCAAACCACTATTTTTAACACGTGTCAAGGTGTTGAAAATTGTGTTTGTATAACTCCAGTGTATTCATATTTATGATGATTTCAGAACTCCTGTACTTTTGGAACTTAAAATTTTCAATAATTCTCATGTGTCCAATGAATGGTTGTTCAGCTATAAATAAGTGAAAATTGGAAAACAAACAGATGTCGAAAACAATATAAAATTTTATTGTCTGTATATGTGACAGTTCAAGCTTTTGATGGAATAAAAATCATACTTATGACATGATTTTTTATTAGAATGCCAATAATATCACACAATTAAAGTTTTCAATAAGTAACACAAATATAGATTTTCATTTTCAGTGGTGTCCAATTATTTTGTTTTTTGTATAGCATTACTAAACCTAGAAGTACAAAAACCCTTTTTTAAGTAAAGGAGTTTCGTTACACAATTAATAGCGATTCTTACTGGTTTAACAAAAAACCTTTTTGGATGCAATACAATTTCCATGTGCTTTCATCCACAGCTTCCTGTCGTTTAACGATTTTCTTATATAACTTGCTGTCTTTAACAGGTGGCTAATAAACTTCTTTCTTCCTAGGGGTCAGCCAAGATGAAGGAACAACAGCCAGACCACCTACTTCAAATTCAATCACATAAAATGGCATCTTGATTTCTAGTTCTCAATTGCAATCTTGAGTTCTAATATCGGCTGTTGCCCACACACCTATTATTGTTTAAGTTTGAAAATGTCCATATAGGACGAAACTGCAGTTACGTTAGTTACAAATAAAAGAGGTAAAAAACATAGAAATTTTCATTTCTCTTTTCATCATGATCTCCTACCACATAGTAACGGCTACATCCATCAATTTATACTCACAAGTTTCCCTCAACATTATTTGACATACCTGTTGTTGCCCCACAATATATATTATACAATTGTAACGGTAAACGTTATTATTATCATTATGTCTGAGGAATATTATATTTGCAAAGTCAATCGAAAATATAATTCATTCCATTAACCCTTTCTATACGAGTGCCGTATGTATACGTACGTCCGTGTGAGTACGAGTGTCGTGCAAGTTTAAATGATAATTGACAGCTTCACGAGTGTCTTACGAATACGGCGAGCTAGACATGTGTAATATAATTCTATATTTGCAACCTCAGCGGCTGCGCATTTGATAGGCAAAATATTACTGTTTGAAGGCCTGTGTTTCGGTCAGTATCATTTTGTCATAGGGTAAACACTAAACATGTCTCGCAGGTATTTAACCCAAAAAGAGTAGGAAAATATAGCCGACCATTTATCTGACGTGGGTGATAACGAGTGTATCTTCAGTAGAGGAGAAAGTGAAGATGAAGAGGGATACGATGATGAGCGGGAAAAGGATGATGAGCCAAAACACGATAAACCGCCAGATAACATTGAATCTGATGAACATGAAACAAATTCTGCTCTATACTAACCCTTTACGACTAACGGCAAGTCACTTCATAAAAAAGATACCGAAATCCAAACCTACTGCAAAACCTCCCGTTAGAAGGTGTGCAATATGTTCTGCAAATAAAAAAAGAACTGAAAAAACTTACCAATGCGACATTTGTAATGTTGGATTGTATGTGACACCTTGCTTTTAGCTGTATCACACCAAAAAGACATTCTGAATTTTGAAAGTATTCCTTTATCTTTTCTTTCTTCAAAACTTTCTTTACTTTTTTTGTGAATCAATAGATTGATTTTTCTTATGAATAAAATGAGTATTTTGCATTTTTTTTTATTATAATTGTTTTGAGTACGACTGTCGTACGTATACGTCAAATAAAAAAACCTGCGTACAGAGAGTACTGCATAAAAAACACCCTCGTATAGAAAAGGTTAAAAAAAACAACTAATTGATACAGTTTATAGTATTATTTTCACTATAGAGGGTTTTACAAAGCTTCCTC